TACCGAACACCGACCACCCCTTGCTCATTCACTTCAAAGTTAACCGCAAATTGAGTGCTCATCTTATTCACACGAAAGGAGGCAGCGGTACTTGGTCGTCGTGTGTCTGGAACTAAAATCGGACACTCTACTTCCCAAACACCGTTCAGCCAGGAGAACGCTATTCGGTAGTTTTGTTCCCACGAACTAGGGGAACAAACGTTACTATGAGTCATGGGGTACTGTTTGTGGATTTGTTCGGTTTAAAGACTTTCCAAAATAGACCAACCACACAACCTAAACTCATGGAACTATTTCTGTGCAGGAGCCTCGTGTGCGGTTGGTCAAACTAAGACATCCATGAAATTCCTAAACCCCTGAACTGATCTGGGTGATTTTTGGACATGTTGGTCACCCATCATGGGATCTAACATTTATGGGGATTTTGTGTGTTTTGGAATACTTTTGAAGGTTTATGGAAAATGTGTTTTTTCTGCAAGGAGATAATGGAGTTATTACAGTATCTGACTCCATTATCTCCCAGACAGAGAGGATGGATTATATGGTATGTAGGGGAGTGTCATACTTTGTAACCTTGCTGTTATTGGTTTGTAACTTTGTGTTGGAGTCCCCCTCAAGGTCTATGTGGGAGTGCCCCTTGCATGGGGACTTGCATAAAAGCCAAGTGTGGCACCATTAAAATTCATTCTTGTTGTACCCTTCATCTAGTCTAGGCTGATGTTAAGGTAACTGTCTACTTGCTGGGGAGAAACTGCTCTAAAGCTGCATTCGTCTACGAAACGTTCGAACCAACACCCGAACTGCGAGCTATAATCACTCAGGCTCTAGCAGTTCGGGAGAAAATAGGCGAACGGGTATCTGTAATACCAGCGTTAGTTACAGAATCTATTCCAAAATATTGGCAACATAACACAACCCAACGTGTTGATGCCATCATAATGAAACATGCTGGTTGTGTACCACAAGTTTTTAATTTCTTACCCCCTAAAAGAAAACACTTGGAAATGTCTAAATAATGGTAATTCTTTTATTATCTATGGCACAAGTTGAATCCCTAACTAAACATTTCTTGAGCAATGGGAAGGAGAGGATCACAATAAGAATGGTCCAGATAAAATGTAACAAATCGGGCACAGATAGTCATTCCGTTTCCAGGTCATATGACCTTTGGAAATTAGAAAAGATATTACCTAAAAGGTAGGTCTTTGGTTTGCTCATCTCCTCTGTGAAAGGCATTTTTAGAGAGTGGGCAAGTTCATAAAGTCTTGAGGGTTTGCTAGTTGGTGTGTGAATATTGGTACCAAATGCTTAGAACACAATATTTTCTTTTAATCAAAATTGTTCAAGCAGAAGCTTATCACCTCAACCTTTCAAAGACTCCATTTGCTTGAACAAAAAGTCTTTGAAATGTCATTCAGAGTCCTTGCTTGTGATGATGTAACAGGTTACATTAGTGTGAATAAAAAGTTTAGAGTAAAACTATGTCTCATAATGTGTTCCTTACAACTTCTTCCTCCAGCAAGGGTTGTGAGGATCAACCATCTCGTAGGTAGAGGTCAATCTACTTTGTGGTGATCATTGTTTTGCACAGAATAGTCATTGGAAACTGCTGCCCCATTCTTAACAAGTTCTCGTTCGTCCTCAATGTGGAATATCAGACTCATCGCAGTCACTTCTTTCATCTTTTTCAAGCTGGCAAGAAAGACCAATGTCAATACAAAAGCAAAAACTTGCCCAAAATCTAGTGCAGGCATAGGCAACCTTCGGCACTGCAGATGTTTTGGACTACACCTCCCATGATGCTTTCCCAGCATTATGGGTGTAAGAGTATTATGGGGGATGTAGTCCACAAAATCTGGAGTGCCAAAGGTTGCCTACCCCTGATCTAGTGTATTTCAGAAGATGGCCACCATAAGGACCTCTCAATAAAATAATAACAATAACAAACACTGGAAGGGTGAAAGAAGAAAGGAAGGAAATAAACGACTGGATGCAACTTTCTTCACAAACGGAAAGGGGGAACAAACTGGAAGGGAAAGGGTAAGTGGAAGATAAAAGACCCCCTCCCAAAAAAAATCCAAACACATCAGATCATTTGAAAACTAAGCTTCTGTATTCTACAAGCTCTGAATATTCTTTAAAACACCATTAATTGCTATTGTGAATGCCAACGGACATTTGCCAGAAACTCTTTACTTTTCTGGACAGTTGTCAGCCCAACTGCATTGTGATATAAAACCATTTAATGGGGAGGACATATTTCCCGAAAGAAAATCTAATGTTCCAAGAAATGTAATTCTCCACCCTTGCGTTACGAGTGACATGATAATATTGCGTTATGTCTAACCACATGATCTATACTATTTTTGTTTGTTTTTTAAAACATAGGTCACCAAGAGCATCTTCATTATTTAGGACTAAATTGTTACTCCTCACCATCCAACCAATCAGATCTACAAGAATAAGGAAACCACAGGTCTTACCTTCCCTGTGATTAACTTATGAGCCATGCCGAGGATGAGGTAGGCCCAGAAGATATGCAGACACAGGAGACTCCACAGCATCACATTGAAGAAATAGTAACCACAAAATGGCTGGTAGATCGCCATCGTGAGTAAACCCAGGT